TTTTCATAAAATTCTTGACGATGAAAGAGGTGCAAAAGTGTTGGAAGACCAAAATAATTTTAATAATATTATTTGCTAAATTGAGAGTATTGGAGTGAAAATCAAGGACGAAGATAAGACAGCCAGCTTACTTTGCATATTTTCATAATTGTATGATAATCTTTTCATTACATTGAGTTGCAATAAAGAAAATTAACTTGCTTTGGGCTTGATTTTTAGTGCTCCACTTGTCAATGAACTTCAAAAAATGCATCTTTAAGGAGTCCGGTGGAATCAAAGATGGAAGCTCTTGTAGCAAGGGGTCGATCGAATGAACAAGATGATTCATTAAGAAATCATTCATGAAGCAATTCAAAATTTCGATCAAAATCAGAGGGGCTAATGGCAAGAACGTATCTTAGTTTTGTGGGAACCATGTCATATAAGGAAGATTTGTTTAAAAGAAAGGCAGTGAATTCTTAAAAGAACCTTAACACGAGAGGTGAAAAGTAAATGAATCTAAGAATGAAGCAAATCAAGTTGAAGAGTCAACATTTAGATTTCTCGAAGATGTGACGTTGAATCCTGTGTTCTATCAAAATTGAATCCTTGATAGTGAGTCACCAATCATAGGTGCCAACATAGATCATGGTTTGACTCGTACGGGTCATATGAAGGAGGATCAGTATATATAGTTAATAACTCAACTAGCAAAGTGGTTATGTTTGGTTTGTTTACAAATTTGACGAAACAATATAGACAATTAAAGATGTTAGACATGTGTTAGAGCTAAAAAAGAGCTTGATTTCTCTTTCTTCTTAGATTCAGAATTTTAGTATTTCACCAGTCAAGGTGGAGTAATCAAAGTTTCAAACGAGGCTCTAATTGTGATGAAAGGAGTCCGAGTTCAAAACTTGTACAAGTTGTTGGGAAGCACAATAATAAGCGACGTGATAAATTCGGTGGTGGAAGGTGAGGAAGTTCTATTTTATTTATGACATAAAAGATTGGAGCACATGAGCGATAAGGGTATTTTAATAAAAAAGAATATGAACGACACACTTATATATGATGGAATGGAATTTTGTGAGTATTGTGTTTATAGAAAACAACATATACAACTTTTCAATGCCGGGAAACATATAAGTTAGTGCAAGCTTGACTACATTCACTCAGATATATGAGGTCGTTCACAGACTACACCTTATGAAGGTGCATTGCATTTTGTTTTATTTATTAATGACTTCTTAAGAAACATATGTTGGATTTGGCGCTATCCAAAATCACCTATATAAGGAAATCTCATATATAAGGAAATCTCTTGGAAATATATATCTTTTGGTTTTTTTGAGATGTATATAACATTTATAGGAAGTTTCCTATTTAATATGGACTCCTAATCTTATATATATGACATGAATTTGTGTGCCCTATTTATGTCACTATATGGGAATGACGGTTCTTCTATAGAGAGAGGGAGGCAGAGCCTCTTATGCATAAGATGTAATTTACTTTTAGAGAAGATAGCTTCCTATGAAGAGAAACATTGATGGTGCCTTCTGAAGTCTCATGTAGAGTGAGATGTTGGTTTCTTGTAGAGATGCAGTTCTCCATAGAGATTTTATGTTGTTCCCTTTTAGTTAAAGAGAAAAGTAGTTTCTTGTTGCTCTTGTGTTTCTATCTGGTGTTGTCGGTAATGGTTGCCGGAAGTAAATAGAAGGAAGGAAGAGTAGTTTAAAATGGTTTGATCGACTTAGGTTTTTGTCGAAGTTTGTTCCAAAATATTTGATGTAACTTTTATTGGTATAATGGATTTCTGTTCGCCGTGCCCGTGGACGTAGCCCTTTTGGAGTGAACCACGTAAATATTTGTATTCTTATGTATGTGTTTCATATTTTATTTCTCGTATTTCATTTCCCAAAAATAAACTCATTGGGTTTAGAGTTTTCGTGCACAACAACATATGGATTAAAACTCTCACGTTCAAAAGTGATGCAAATTATACATTTAAGAATTTTAAGTGGAAGTTGAAAAATTTATTAGACATCACATATAAGTTATTCTGATGCATAATGGTGGAGAGTTTGCATAAAATGACTGAAAATTGCAAGGCTTAAAGAATTACGAGGTATTATACAAATGCTTACTTTTCTCAACAAAATGGTGTTGTCAAAAGAATGAATAGAATTTTGATGGAGCGTACGAGGTGCATATTAAACAATGCCAGTGTCAAGAATTATGAACAAAAGCCATATCAATGACTTATTATCTCATTAACTGGTCACCTTCAGTAGCATTGGAAAGTAAAAGTCATGATGAGATTTTGGATGGAACTCCTCGTTATTATATTGATTTAAATTTTTTTTATTGTGATGTTTATGAACTTATTCCAAGTTGTCAAATAAATAAGTTGAGTGCAATATCAAAGAAGTGTATTATTGTGGGTTATAGCATGAGTGTAAATGGATATCATTATGGGATCTAAGTACTGGAAAATAATTACTAGTCGGGATGTTTATTTTTATGAATTCATGGTATTGGCAAAAGGGGTGATGAAGAAGGATAATGATCAAGAAATGCCAGAAGAGAGCCAAGAGTTTAAAAACAAACCCAATGCTTTGACCTATTGTAAATATGCATTTTAAAAATATACCCATTAATCATAGTGAAGGCATGAAGAAGTGCCAAATGAAGATGAAGAATTACATGGCCATCAAGGTAAAGTTAGTATGATTGTTGCATCTATTTAAAGATTTTTATGATGGCACATACTTGATTTTAGTCTAATATGTAGATGACATAGTTTTGGTGAGCAAGGATAATGCTATGATTGATGAACTCCAAAACATTTTTGAGCTAAAGATTTGAGATGAAAGATCTTGGGCCAGTATGCCAAATAATTGAGATTAAAATAGAATTTTGTCACTATGTCAAAAAAGTTATATCGAAAGGTTGCTTGAAAAATTTGGCATGACAAATACAAAGCCAGTGAAGACACTCGTAGAGCCTCATTTCAACTTATCTTCAAGGCAAAGTCGAAAGAGGGAAGAAGTAATAAGACGCATGTATAAAGGTTGTAAATGAGATCGGATATGCTTATGATGAATCCCAGAAAGGTTCATTATGTTGAAACAAAATGGATGCTTATGTGTTTAAGAGGCAATACTAATTAAGCAATAATATTTAATAAAGGCGCAAATCCAATGCAAGGCTATGTAAATGTAAATTTTGCTGGTGATCTTGAAAGAGGTAGGTTAACTATCGCATTTGTTTTGTGTTTGCAAATGAACTAGTAAATTGGATGTCAAGGCTCCAAGACATGGTAGCACTATCAACTACCGAGGTCGAATATATGACAACAACGTATCAAAAGCAGTAGTGTGGCCAAAGATTAATGAGTTAGATGTGTATTATGTGTAAATTCGTAGAAGTATTTTATGATAATATGAGTGTTATTCACTTAGCCAAAAATCCGGTTAACCAGAAGAGGTCAAAACACATATTACTTCAGTATCACTAAATTCAGCACATTGCTAAATAATGAAGAGTTCGATTAGTGAAGATCAAAACTGAAGATAACCTTATGGACATGCTTATGAAGCCAATTCAAGTAGAAAAGTTAGAATGAAACTTCTATTGGTTTCAAAAAAGAAAAGGAATGAGGGTTTGGCAAGGCAAGAGACAGATTTTGCATCAAGGTGAAAACTGTTGGAACAGTGATGCAAATTCACCTCCCATTTAGTATTCCCATCTTTATTTAATGGTATTTTATCACATGAAAAAAATCCTTTTTATAGAGGCACATAAAAGTTCATTGCAGAGAGAAAAAATAGCAGAGTGAACAAAGATACACTTTGGAGAGATAGAGACTATGGGTTTTGTACAAACTCTAGTATTCTTATGCCCTTTGTATTGGGCTAAATTCATGTCTTTGCCGTGGTAGCATTGATGGCCAATTGTTTGTAGTATTGTGGTAAGAAAAATCAATTTAAGTTTTCTTTACTATTGTAAAGTAATATTTATATAACTTAAAAAAATTAAAAATTTCCTCCATTAATAATAAATACATCATTGCCATTTACTTAAAGATTTAACCTATTTTGGATGAACTTCGTAAATTGACGTATGACTTTTACTTCTATTTATGTTATAGCCATGTAGTTTTCTATTTTGCTTTTTTTTTATTATTTATGTAGTTTTTTGAATTTATTACACATATTATTGTTAGTAGTTTTTTTTGAAATCAATTTGTTGATGATTGACAAGTCAATTTTGAGGTATTATATTGATTGTTCCCGGTAGCTCACTACCACTATCAACTAGGTATTTGGCCCATCCCGGTTCACCAACACCTCGGAGTGTTTTAGGTGGACGCCTCATGTAAACCTTACCCTCATGTCAAAATATAAATATTTCTAAACAAATGTTGTTTCATGCAGGCTGGACCGCATTTCTATATGCGGTCCAAAAAGTGTAAGATGGATGCAAGTTGGTGTTTCATTTAAAAACAATAGAAACTAACTATCCAAATGTTTTTTTACTAGAATGATTATTTATAGTTTTAAAATTTTACTTCTTTTTTCAATAATCTCCATGTTAGAGATCACACGCCTTTAATGTCCAAAATGTTTTCTTACTAAAATGATTATTTATAGTTTTTAAAATTTATTTATTTTTTCAATGATCTCGATGTAAGAGATCACACGCTTTTAAAAATTAAGTTGAAAAATCCATTTCAAAAATAGATTTATTAATAGGCCCCGAATATCACATATGCGGGCTCGGCCGCGTAGTAACCGGGTCCTTCCTAAAATGCCTTTGCACTTTCTTAGATAAATTTTCTTATTACAGGATTCCATTTCCATATATTAACCCCCGATAAATAGAACAATGCGTGTCTTGTTTCCCCATTATTGACGCTTCCTTTGTGAGAGAGAAAGAGAGAACCAGAGAGAGAGAGATTTAGAGAGAGACAAGGCCTGAAACTGAGATAGAGAGGGAGGAAAAGAGAGAAAGAGAGAGAAGAACCAGAGGAAGACAGAGAGATAGAGAGATTTAGAGAGAGAAAAGGCCTGAGACTGAGATAGAGAGAGAGGAAAAGAGGAGAGTTAGAGAGAAGGGGCAGCATGCAGAGCTTTGGAGACATGGCGTGCTCTCCGTTCCTCATCTGCAAAATCCCTCTCTCTCTCCTCTTCTACGCCTATGAACTCTGCCCTAAGACCGCCATAAAGCAAAATCTGCTCTATAAACTACAGCACATGCTCAATCTCTTCCTCTACATCGTTCTCTGGTTTTTCCGGCAACTATCCATCAATTTTCCCGCTGTTATTAGAGAAAAAAACGTGGCCGGAATCCTCAATCGTCGCGGGAATACTGACCTCGAAGTCGCCGGAAATATTTTGCCTATTGAAACCACGGGCGATCCTGTCAGAGATTCAAGCATCGCACGAGCGCTAGCTCAGGTAAGGGTCTCTTCATTCATGGCATATTCCCATATCCCGAAAATTTCACTGAATTTCGACCGAAATTTCGTTTAGCCTGTGATTGTGTCCATTGAAACAACCAATATTCACCCTAAATTACGGAGCAAGCGAATCGGCGACGAGATTTAGGTGAAATGCGCCAGAAATTCTAAATTAATTTTACTTATATTATCATAATTAAAAAATAGTGACTTGTATTTTTATAGTTATTTTGAATTCTTATTTTTAGAGCTTATATTATATTTTAATTTTAATATATTCTATACCTCAGGTTAAAAGTCAAATTTTGGGGACCCATAATCTCACATGGAGGGTTGCTAGAAAATATAAAAAGTAATTCAATAAAACAAGTTTTGAGGGGTATTTTGTTAAAGTTTGACGGTTAAGATGTGTCTTAAAGTTCCAAAAATTCATTTTAAACTTTCAGGTAGGTCAATGGAGCTGCTTAATTTTACATCTAATAGTCATGGTGACCATTGTATACCAAGGTGAATGCTCTCGTGTACATTTTTTTTCAAAAAGGAAAATATATGGGTATTTTAAATAAAAATATAGAGATATTTTTAAGGGAACGCTTTTTATGTTCCCCTTATCCAGCCCTTTATTTTTCGATAGAGGGCTAAAAACGGTTTTGATACCAAATTTTGGACTTTTATTCCAGTATTAAAACTAGTACTAACGAAAAATATAAAACAAGTATTTTTAATAAAATAAAATAACCAAAATACTTTTGAAAGTTTTAAGAAGTATTTTGGTCATTATTTTTTTATCAAAAAATTATTGTTAATAATTTTTTTTATAGGTGCGCTTCAATGAGAAGATGGCACATACACAATTTCATATTTAGAAAAATTATATTAAAAAAATTAAAAATAAAATTTCATATTTAAAAAATTTATATTAAAAAAACTAAAAATAAAATACTTTGAGACATCGGATCTAAGATCAAACTATGAGTGGCTGTCTTGATAAAAAATAGACGGTTGGATGGTAGGAGAACATAAAACTTCTATGGTGTAGGGGAACATAGAAAGCTTTCCCTATTTTTAAATCTTATAAGAAAGCTTTCCCTATTTTTAAATCTTATAAGAAAGTAAGATGTTCAATTTCCTTTTTATTAATTCTTAAAAAGTTGTGTGACGGATTGTACTCGGGGCTCTTTAAATTGGACGGTTGGGATGTGCTACCTTTGGCCAGCGGGGTGATAATAGATAAGCAAGCGTGCTCCATCCTCTACCTGGTATCCACTCCATCAACACACGTGCTAATTATGTCATTTTCACCGAAATTTCGGTGTACGTCATTATAGCGTCGAGATAAACATAATGTGCCTCATGCAGTGTTTGCAAAATGAAAAATCCGAGCGGCTAATGGGACATAGATCCAAAAGCGGTTTAACCGGTTTAATCGGTAAACTGGTTGATTCAACCGAACAAAGTCTCAAGCAAATATTGAATGGTTAAAAAGGCAATGAAAAAAATAAAAAACGAGAAGTTCTATCAAAACATGAAAAACATATACAAAATGATTAAAATAAAACACATTCAAATGAAGTTAAAAATTAATGAAAAATTTGGATTTTAAAGAATCAATTTATGCTTGTGGTATTTTTAAATTTTTCAAAACAGATGAAAAACTATAAAAGTGATTATTAATGACCAAAATAAATTTTAATTTTTATCATAATTAAGGAAAACTAAAAAATATATTACATAACTTCCTTATTTTTTGAAATTTATATTTATTTATTAGATCTAACTAAGCGGTTACTGATTAGATCGCAGTTTTTCCAACAGTGGTCCCACGAAAATATTGTTTTTTAAGTGAGGCATGATAATATTGTTTTAGAGTTAGTTCTTGGGGGGTGGAACCTTCTTCCCCGAGTAATTCTCTTGCTTGATTGGAAAGTCCGTATGGCATATGGTGCTATGCTTCTCCGACTAATGGAACTATACCTACAGCCAATAGATTTTCTACTCCCTCGGGGGTATATTATCTTTTTACTTCCTAGTGTAAAACCCCAGCTAACGCTAAATTTTGGGGCTATAACCCTTTTAACACATAAATTATAATAAAAGAAAAAGTTTATGAAGGTTGCAACCTTACCTCTACAGCTATTGGTGCACCTCAAAAATCCATAGGAAAATATAGTTTTAATGCTGAAAAACCCTTTGATTGATCATCTCGACATCGAGATGTATGATCATGAAAAAATAAAAAGATTTTAAGTCTAAAAAAATAGTACATTTTACAATATATTATCTACACCGTTCATTTTCAAGGTTTTCATATGTTTATAGATTTACTTGATTTTTAGCCTATTTTTTGAAAATTTTAAAATTTTATAATTAGATA